AAATTTAAAAGCATGTGCTTGTTTAAAGACAAAATGACCATAGTAACCAAAAGGTTAGTACTGACATAGCAAAGTGACGTCGCTTAGTTTAATGGACATTACTTATACAAATAAATAATTCTATATATATTCGATTGCTTTAGTGCTTTGTAATATTCACTATCATTTATATGTTATTTTTTCGTTTGTAATTTAAGAAAAAATAATAACTTTTTTTGCCAAATCTGGAAAACTAACATCTTCTGGTCGATAAAAATTATAAAAAATAGATTGTGTGTGTAAATAAAAACAATTATAAATATCTATATTTAAAAAACAATAGATGGTGCTGATGATTTTAAATGAATATTTTTTTTATTTTCTTGAACCAATTCATTAAATATATCTTCTGAAAATCTGAGTTTTTGTATTGAAGACATTGAAAAACTGTAACACTAATAACGTTCCTTCTGATAATAGTTTAAAATTATTAATATTACTATTAATTACCTTATTATATTCACACTATACATATTTGTTTCTATTGTTTTCTAGAGGGCGTCTGAATGCGAAAACGTAACGAAATCACAGGTAGCTTAATGTTTTGTTGTTGTTTTTTCATAGTCCTTGCGGACCGTTGAACCGATGGCAGATCTTGCTCTGCCATCGTTTCTAAAGCTGTTTCTTACGTCAAGGATGCAGCCCACTTGGCAGCCTTCCCTTTTCGGAAGGACGAGCATGTTCGGTGTGACGGGGATTCGAACCCGCGACACTCAGATGCTATGCCGGGCCGGTAGTTTAATAGTAAGTTGAAGTTGACTGTTTATTGTTATTAAGCGCAAAGCAGACTTAAGTAGCTACACAACGGACTAGGTACGGCTTGCTCACCACGGGAAATCGAACCACAGGTTGTAAGTTCGTAAACTTACCGCTCGTCCACTGGTGGATAGTAAGTTGGAATAAGAAAATATACAACTAATGAATTCTATAATAAGAACTTTATTCAAAGGAGAGAGAAAAAAAGCTCTTTCTAAACTTTGTTGTTTCAGACGTTTCTTTTAAATTGCCTGTCAAATATGATGTCTTATTAAACACGCTTTGTCCATTTTGCTTGCGATATTGTTTTCAGTGATGAAATATATGAGTGTTGGGTAGTGTTTCATGTCAACAAAAGTCTTACATACTTGTAATGGCATCACAAGAGGGGGTATGTAGTTTAGTCCCAATCCGACTCCTTGCAACAATCCGTAGCTTATAACCAAAGCTTCAAATCCAGCATTGATGGTCCAAGCTGTCAAAATCACGGATAAACTAGATGACGAAAATGTGAAAAAAAAATTTCATATAAAATTAGACCTAAGAATATATTTGTAAAATTAGGATTAAGGATACATTTTATCTACTTAAAATATTGCGTTTGCTGGATAAAACTACAGTACATAATGATAGCATGGTCATTACAGGATCTTGGGATCAGAATCTTCCAATTAATACTGATAAACATACGTGCGCGCGCGCACACACACACACACATATATATACATACATTTGTCTAGACTGTCGTTAACCATCACAAAAACGTACCATTTAGTTAGATCTTCAACTGAAGATGATTTGTGCTGAAAAATGAACCTCGTAAGTGAGATCTAAAAACTAGACGCCAACTTTGCATCAGAAGATATCATAGAAAAAGATATTACAAAAACAACAGCTACTAAACAGATTCTCAGCGAACACTTCTTATCTCTAAAATAAAAGAATGAAATAAAAAGCTAAATCACTCTGGTAAGGATATATAATTCCTACTTCCCTTCACTTTCTAAGCTTATAACGAATTTCACTTAATAACTCCACAAAACAAGTAGAAGACTCAAAATAAGGTGTTGTTCACGAAAACAACATGTTATAAATCATTTGTTTTATGTAATCTGACACTCCAGTTGAAAACATAAGTTATATATATATATATATATATAATAGCTGGGATACTCGTTCGTTGGACGGATGAAATAAAAACTCATTTGTAACAAAGGATAGGAAGTTGTGCTTCTGTTGTTGTTGTTTTTTTTCTTAACATAATAAACAGTAAAAGTGCAAAAAAATATATATATAAAGGTACCAATACTGAAAAGTAAGGCATACTGTTTTCAAGAATTATATTAATATTAAATTAGTTAGGAGTCCACCCCCCCCCTCTCATGACCTTCCTCATGTCATCCTGTAGCACTGTGTCAAGTCTGGTATTGATTGATCAAGAAATGTGGAAACATACAAGAAACAGACACACACAAATAGTGATGTTTATTTATATAGATATCTTGCGTTTTTTTCCCCAAATAATAATTCTTTACTTAATAAAGCTAATTTAGCAAGCTTTTACAATGCCCTTCTTGTTGCTTTATCCAACTGAAATTTTGCTTAGTTGCGCATTGGGTCTTTGAACCTATCTAACTCCTGATGAAGGGCTGTCTATCAGTTCGAAGTATTGGTTGGGATAAGTACATCTATAGTCAATCTATCAGATGTGGAGGAAAGGCCAGAATACTACAGCATTTAAAAAGAGACATGATAATGAAGGAACGTCCAGCAGGTATTACAGTGGCCAAGACAGTGTCATTTGTATACTTCTCCAAGACATTGGCTTTTGGATTTTAATAACAGTGGATAAAGTTGAATTTATTTTCTGGTGTGAGGGAGAATTGTGGCCGCAAATGTATAATGGCAGAAACAGGGGAAACGTGGTTAGACAGGATGCTAAAGACCAACTGTCATCAAACAATACAAAAACTGACAGACATTCAATGGATGGTACCCCACGCCCATCTCCAGCTACACCTGGAAAACAATGTTGCAACAAGTGGACTATGACAGTAGAAGACCATTGCATAAACCGCTGGACACAGTTACCAAAAAGAAAAAAATGCCTTGAGTGGTGTATAGAGTATAGACATTGATCTAATAAAAACTTGTGAACGATGATGTTGTTCAATGAATCAAGCTTGATTTTTTTTTGCACAGGTGTAGAAAAAGACACAAAAATAACTCATCCCTCTTGTATGGTCCAAACTGTTCAAGCTTTTGATGGTGAAGTCATAGTTTGGGACATCATTTCTTGAAGTACCCAAGACTTTTTGGTCTCTTAAGAAAGCAGAATGAATGCCATGAGCATCATTTCTAATCAAGTGTATCCATTGATGCTTCATGTGTGTACTTATGGGTCAGCTACTTCCAAGACCACAATGCTTCCATCCACTTTGTCCACATTCTGCGTACATGGTAGGCATCTTCCATGGCTACCAAAATCCCCGAATTTCAGTGCATTTGTGAATCTATGGGACAAATTTCGAAGACACATTCACCATCACTATCTTCTATCTATCTCGCTCCATAAATTGCGTGCAGTATTAAAGTCTGAATAGAGAAATCCTCTGAGCAATTTCCAAAACCTTGTGGATTATATGACACATTGTATCATGGCTTTTATTTGTGGGAGAAGCTCAAAAAATTCAGTAAACATAAAAACGTGCAATTGAGAAAAGTTAATGCGCATACATGTATTTAATAATCATTTTGCAACAATATAAAAACAAACCCAAATGTACTTACGATTGAAATTCAATAGACATGTTTATAATTCCAAATTCTAAGTTAAGTAGTTATTCAACCCATTAATTAACTAATCAGTGATTGTAACTTAAAATAAGAATCCTAATTAGACGTAAGTCGTAACACTTCATATATTTCTTTCATTTCGTTTATTATTGTATGCTATTTCTAAGCTCTACACATACATGTTGACAAGTATTTCTTTTTTATAAATTCTAAAAATGTTTCTAAAATCATTTATGGACCTCATAGTATTTTTCAGATGATGCCATTATCAACAAATACAATTGTGAATGGCGTATGTATGGTATA